AGGGTTGAAAATTGATCCACTTCATAGAGCCTTGTTAGGGTGAAGAATGATGGACTTCTTAGAGCCTTAGGGTGAAATAGATCCACTTCATAGAGCCTTGTTAGAGTGAAGAATGATGGACTCCTTAGAGCCTTAGGGTGAAAATAGATCCACTTCATAGAGGCTTATTAGGGTGAAAATGTTATGGTCCCATAGCCTTGTTAGGGTGAAGAATGATGGACTCCTTAGAGCCTTAGGGTGAAAATTGATCCACTTCATAGAGCCTTAGGGTGAAAATTGATCCACTTCATAGAGCCTTGTTAGGGTGAAGAATGATGGACTCCTTGGAGCCTTAGGGTGAAAATTGATCCACTTCATAGAGTCTTGTTAGGGTGAAGAATGATGGACTTCTTAGAGCCTTAGGGTGAAAATTGATCCACTTCATAGAGCCTTAGGTGAAATTGATCACTTCATAGAGTCTTGTTAGGGTGATGAATGAAGGACTCCTTAGAGCCTTAGGGTGAAAATTGATCCACTTCATAGACCTTTTAGAGTGAAGAATGATGGACTCTTGGAGCCTTAGGGTGAAAATTGATTCCACTTCATAGAGCCTTGTTAGGGTGAAGAATGATGGACTCCTTAGAGCCTTAGGGTGAAAATTGATCCACCTCATAGAGTCTGATCCACTTCATAGAGCCTTGTTAGAGTGAAGAATGATGGACTCCTTAGAGCCTTAGGGTGAAAATTGATCCACTTCATAGAGTCTTGTTAGGGTGAAAATTGATCCACTTCATAGAGCCTTGATAGGGTGAAGAATGATGGACTCCTTAGAGCCTTAGGGTGAAAATTGATCCACTTCATTGGCCTTAGGGTGAAAATTGATCCACTTCATAGAGTCTTGTTAGGGTGAAAATTGATCCACTTCATAGAGCCTTGTTAGGGTGAAGAATGAAGGACTCCTTAGAGCCTTAGGGTGAAAATTGATCCACTTCATAGAGCCTTGTTAGGGTGAGGGTGATGGACTCCTTAGAGCCTTAGGGTGAAATTATCCACTTCATAGAGCTTGTTAGGGTGAAGGAATGAAGGACTCCTTAGAGCCTTAGGTGAAAATTGATCCACTTCATAGAGCCTTGTTAGGGTGATGAAGTGATGGACTCCTTAGAGCCTTAGGGTGGAAAATTGATCCACTTCTAGAGCCTTGTTAGGGTGAAGAATGAAGGACTCCTTAGAGCCTTAGGGTGAAAATTGATCCACTTCATAGAGCCTTGTTAGGTGAAGAATGATGGACTCTTTAGAGCCTTAAGGGTGAAAATTGATCCACTTCATAGAGCCTTGTTAGGGTGAAGAATGATGGACTCCTTAGAGCCTTAGGGTGAAAATTGATCCGCTTCATAGAGCCTTGTTAGGGTGAAAATTGATCCACTTCATAGAGCCTTGATAGGGTGAAGAATGATGGACTCCTTAGAGCCTTAGGGTGAAAATTGATCCACTTCATAGAGCCTTGTTAGGGTGAAGAATGATGGACTCCTTAGAGCCTTAGGGTGAAAATTGATCCACTTCATAGAGCCTTGTTAGGGTGAAGAATGATGGACTCCTTAGAGCCTTAGGGTGAAAATTGATCCACTTCATAGAGCCTTAGGGTGAAAATTGATCCACTTCATAGAGCCTTGTTAGGGTGAAGAATGATGGACTCCTTAGAGCCTTAGGGTGAAAATAGATCCACTTCATAGAGGCTTATTAGGGTGAAAATTGATCCACTTCATAGAGCCTTGTTAGGGTGAAAATTAATCCACTTCATAGAGCCTTGATAGGGTGAAGAATGATGGACTCCTTAGAGCCTTAGGGTGAAAATTGATCCACTTCATAGAGCCTTGTTAGGGTGAAAATTGATCCACTTCATAGAGCCTTGATAGAGTGAAGAATGATGGACTCCTTAGAGCCTTACGGTGAAAATTGATCCACTTCATAGAGCCTTGTTAGGGTGAAGAATGATGGACTCCTTAGAGCCTTAGGGTGAAAATTGATCCACTTCATAGAGCCTTGTTAGGGTGAAGAATGATGGACTCCTTAGAGCCTTAGGGTGAAAATTGATCCACTTCATAGAGCCTTAGGGTGAAAATTGATCCACTTCATAGAGCCTTGTTAGGGTGAAAATTGATCCACTTCATAGAGCCTTGTTAGGGTGAGGAGTGATGGACTCCTTAGAGCCTTAGGGTGAAAATTGATCCACTTCAGAGAGCCTTGTTAGCGTGAAGAATGATGGACTCAGAGCCTTAGGGTGAAAATTGATCCACTTCATAGAGTCTTGTTAGGGTGAAAATTGATCCACTTCAGAGAGTCTTGTTAGGGTGAAAATTGATCCACTTCATAGAGCCTTGTTAGGGTGAAGAATGATGGACTCCTTAGAGCCTTAGGGTGAAAATTGATCCACTTCATAGAGCCTTGTTAGGGTGAAGAGTGATGGACTCCTTAGAGCCTTAGGGTGAAAATTGATCCACTTCATAGAGCCTTGTTAGGGTGAAGAATGATGGACTCCTTAGAGCCTTAGGGTGAAAATTGATCCGCTTCATAGAGCCTTGTAAGGGTGAAGAATGAAGACTTCTTAGAGCCTTAGGGTGAAAATTGATCCACTTCATAGAGTCTTTTTAGGGTGAAAATTGATCCACTTCATAGAGTCTTGTTAGGGTGAAAATTGATCCACTTCAGAGAGTCTTGTTAGGGTGAAAATTGATCCACTTCATAGAGCCTTGTTAGGGTGAAGAATGATGGACTCCTTAGAGCCTTAGGGTGAAGATTGATCCACTTCATAGAGGCTTATTAGGGGTGAAGAATGATGGACTCCTTAGAGCCTTAGGGTGAAAATTGATCCACTTCATAGAGCCTTGTTAGGGTGAAAATTGATCCACTTCATAGAGCCTTGTTAGAGTGAAGAATGATGGACTCCTTAGAGCCTTAGGGTGAAAATTGATCCACTTCATAGAGCCTTGTTAGGGTGAAGAATGATGGACTCCTTAGAGCCTTAGGGTGAAAATTGATCCACTTCATAGAGCCTTGTTAGAGTGAAGAATGAAGGACTTCTTAGAGCCTTAGGGTGAAAATTGATCCACTTCATAGAGCCTTGTTAGGGTGAAGAATGATGGACTCCTTAGAGCCTTAGGGTGAAAATTGATCCGCTTCATAGAGCCTTGTTAGGGTGAAGAATGATGGACTCCTTGGAGCCTTAGGGTGAAAATTGATCCACTTCATAGAGCCTTGATAGAGTGAAGAATGAACAACTCCTTAGAGCCTTAGGGTGAAAATTGATCCACTTCATAGAGCCTTGTTAGGGTGAAGAATGATGGACTCCTTAGAGCCTTAGGGTGAAAATAGATCCACTTCATAGAGCCTTGTTAGGGTGAAGAATGATGGACTCTTTAGAGCTTAGGGTGAAAATTGATCCACTTCATAGAGCCTTGATAGAGTGAAGAATGAACAACTCCTTAGAGCCTTAGGGTGAAAATTGATCCACTTCATAGAGCCTTGTTAGGGTGAAGAATGATGGACTCCTTAGAGCCTTAGGGTGAAAATTGATCCACTTCATAGAGCTTGTTAGGGTGAGAAGTGATGGACTCCTTAGAGCCTTAGGGTGAAAATTGATCCACTTCATAGAGCCTTGTTAGGGTGAAGAATGATGGACTCCTTAGAGCCTTAGGGTGAAAATTGATCCACTTCATAGAGCCTTGTTAGGGTGAAGAATGATGGACTCCTTAGAGCCTTAGGGTGAAAATAGATCCACTTCATAGAGCCTTGTTAGGGTGAAGAATGATGGACTCTTTAAGCCTTGGGTGAAAATTGATCCACTTCATAGAGCCTTGTTAGGGTGAAGAATGATGGACTCTTTAGAGCCTTAGGGTGAAATTGATCCACTTCATAGAGCCTTGTTAGGGTGAAGAATGATGGACTCCTTAGAGCCTTAGGGTGAAAATTGATCCACTTCATAGAGCCTTAGGGTGAAAATTGATCCACTTCATAGAGCCTTGTTAGGGTGAAGAATGATGGACTCCTTAGAGCCTTAGGGTGAAATTGATCCACTTCATAGAGTCTTGTCAGGGTTATAATTGATCCACTTCATAGTTTTGTTAGAGTGAAAGTTGATTCACTTCATTGTCTTCTTAGGGTGACAATTGATCCACTTCATAGGGCCTTCTTAGGGTGAAGAATGGTAGACACCCCTAGAGCCTTGTTAGGATGGAAAATTGATCCGTTTAGGGGCTTGTTAGGGTGAAATTTGATCCCTTCAACGAGCCTTGTTATGGAGAAAATTGATCCACTTCGTAGAGTTCTGTTTGGGTTAGTATTGATCCACGTAACAGAGCTTGGTTAGAATGAAAATTAATCCACTTCACAGACTTCGTAGAGACTAATTAGGTAGGAAGGTTATGAACTTCATAGAACCTCATCATCATGGTAGAAAATGATCCACTTCACGGAGCCTGGATATGAGATATCGATACACTAAATAGAGCCATTTTAGGGTGAAACTGACAGATTTGAATTCTATTTGTTCACACACAATTTCGTGATCATTTCGTGATCGTTGATTCACTTCTTCGTCTTGTCACGTTATATATATTTTTAAAAATGCTGTCCATTTCATAGGACAATGTGATGCTGAAAGTTGGCTTTCTTTAGCATTGGATATTAATATGTAAAATTATGATCTTTTAATTTGGTGTCAGTATTACCAATTTTCTTAAGTCGACAGAGAGGTTACTCACATTTATCACATGAATATACATCCTCAAGCAGGACTTGGATTTTATCTGCCCGGGTGAATATTTTTTCTTCTTGCTTACATGTTCTGACAGGGAAGGAAACTACATAGCTGCCCTTTCACCGCATTCTTATCATTTCTTAATAGACGAAGGAATGTAAGCGATGGTGATACTGTGTCCATGACGAAGCATTGACACTGATGGGAGTGTAGCAACCCTGTGCTCATGTATCTCTTCGACATAACCATGCAGTTTAACGATGCAAAA